CAGGACAAGGGGGAATGGCTTTAAACTAAAGGGGGGTAGGTTTAGACTAGATATAAGGAAGACATTTTTTACACTGAGGGTGGTGAAACACTGGAACAGCTTGCCCAGAGAAGCTGGTAGATGCCCCATCCCTGGAAACGTTCAAGGTCAGGCTGGACGGTGCTCTGAGCAACCTGATCTGGTTGAAGATGTCCCTGCTCGTTACAGGGGGGTTGGACTAGATGACCTTTAAAGGTCCCTTCCAACCCAAATTATTCTATGATTCTAACTTTTATTTTGTGCTGGCTTGTAGGCACTACCCATTTTGAGACTGGCTAGTTTTGCTTAGAGGGCTTCTTAAGAGAGGACTGTACCTTAAAGGAAGAGAGAGAGTGAGTGTTACTGTCTCTTTAACAACTTTTCTTTCTACAAAATGTAAATTGGTCCTCAGAGGAAAGCAGCTGTTAACATTTAAGAGGATTACATCTTCTGACAGAAAAAAACTATTGCTAGCTTTCAAATGATACCTGAAGCTCTGAAAGTCTGATTGGCTGGAATCAACTGATACCGTATTAGTTTTCATTGCTATATGTATGTTTCTAGCTTGTGTAAATAAGATAATGACCTGAAAATTTAAATTTACAGCTGGGAATGCATAAACACCAAATTTAAATTAAACCAACAAAATGACCTGAAGAGGTCTTTTTGGGGGTTGGGTTTTTTTTAGCCAACTTTGTGATTTTTCGGGGTCCTTTGTTGTGGCTTCTTGGCATTCTTGTCCTAGGCTGTTCTGAAATCCTTTCTGGTTTCAATTGTGCAACTTAGATGTTTTATTTTTCGTCTGCTTGTGCTGTCATTTCACCATTTCCCTAGGGATGTTCCATATACTCGTAAAAGCGGGAAGGGTTTGAATTTCTATATGCAATATTAAAACTTTAGGTTCTATTCTTCATAAAGACGCTTTTTTAAAAGACAAAATGAAGAATTGTGACCCTCCCACCTATCCACCTGCCCTTACCCATGTAGCTCCTATGTCAACCTGAGGCTGAAGCGCTTCTTTTTCTCCCCTCTCTGTAGGGAACTTCGTTCTGTGGTAAGGCAAGCAGATGATTACATTTAAGTTTTGTTCATTTTACCTCTTGAATATGGTGTCCCTAGGAGCATGCTGTGAAACTACTTCAAAACTTGTGCATTCAGTGTGAAGAAGAGATGGGGAGGGAGCGTGGACCTCTCAGTACATCCGATTAAACCATTTTTGTTTCAGAGAACTACCTGATAGAAACCAGACTGAGAAAAGCAGTCTTCCTGCTCAAGCCAAAATTTGAGACTGCTCCTTGTCAAAACATCCTAAGCTTTGGGTAAAAGCAAGATTCAGGGGCCTGTCTTTGAAAATCATGCTGTGTTCACTTAATCACTGTGATCCTTTTAGAAATTCCTGTTCCACAGGTGATCTGATCTTACTTAGAAGCTGGGACTCCATGGTGGAGGTTACACTGCAGAGGGGTACTTCTCTGCCCGTCTGCCCCATCCTCTTCTAGTTGTCAGCCCTTTACCCGCTCCCCAGCTGATCACATAGGCACAGCAGCTCTGCTCTGGCATTCTGGTGGGCAATGCTCCTTGTTTCCTTCAGTAGAGGAAAGGGAGGAAGAGGAGTGCCATTCGGGTCCAACCACTCTCCTTCCTCGCTCCTGGAGCACAGCAGCTATGCAAGTTGCAACATCCACATTTTGCAGGGACTGCAGCAGGAAAGGAGACAACTGTCTGCCCAGTGGGGCTGCATGATGCTGATTTGGGCTGCACAGCCTATTGCAGAATGGGGCACAGGGGAAGGTACTGCTGGATAGCATGCGTAGCTTTGTGTTTAATATATCTTTTGATTCCCTTTTTCCTTTTTTTAAAATAAAAGTTGACTTCTATCTTCTATCTTTTTCCTTCTTATTGTATCTCCTGGCAAATAATAAATTTCTGGGCTGAGTAGCTATTAAATTCTAGTAGCCTAGCGTTTAATAGTCTTTCACTGGCTTCAGCATGCTCTGCTTACAGTTCCCTCTAGCTACCAGCGTGGAACAGCTGTTAGTTTTTTATGTGGACAGAATGCACACAAAAATATATAATGTCCACTTTAACACTTCACTCTTCCCCTCTAGGATGATTTGTGGAGCCAGCAGGTGCTGGCTTTGGCCCCTTGCAGAGTTTGGCTGAACTCCTCTGGCTCTCTTCTGAGCTGTCCCTGCTGTCATCATTCAGGTTTTTTCTTCCCTTTCAAATCTTAATTTCTCAAACGTATGTCAAATGTGTTATGAAGAACTTCACAATGTGCTACAAAACATCCAACCCCATTGTCTGCTGTTACACTAAGCACAGAATTTTTATTTTTAAATGCAAGGAAACAAAATTGAGATAGAAATGTAAATGCACAATTTCCTCAAAGCAAAACCAAGGATATCTAAACTGAAGGCCTCAATACAAAATCTGACTTGTTTAAGAGTGTTTCTTTTTTTTTTTTTTTTTTCTTTCGTGATCATTTTCGCTTTTACATTCTGTAGAAGGAACAGCAATAGTCTGCACTGTTGAACATTCAGCATATATGCAATGTGGTCAGGGTAACTTTGCTTCTGGAACTTTTTATTTTCTGATTTTTTTTTTTTTTTTAAATGTAGCAACACTGGGGTGGTGATGCATATCTGTTGGATATAGAGTAGTATTTGTTGTTCTATACACTATGAATACTCAAATTCAGGGTGTCTTGCATTTCTACTTTTTAACTAGGCACTGGCCTGCAATATGTGATTAATTGGAGTAGAGTTTCGTGAATTCCGGATGACAGGGATTTCCTGCACTAAAATGTTGATCTGGCTTGTCAAGAGGAACTAAATGAAGGTTTATAGCCTGATGCCACTGAGGGATGGCAAAACATGGAAGCAGGTTGCTGAATCTATAGTGACATGGCAGTTGAGTTCTGTTTTGTGAAGAACAAATTTGAGTACTTGTGAGGCGTTTTCAGTCTGCAACGAACAGATCCTTTCAAAGCAGCAAGTCACTTTAATAGGGTGGGTTGTCAGAACTGGAATGCCAACTTGTAAACCTCCATGACTCGGAGCTTATTTCCCAGCTGAAGTATTTTCCATCTCAAGCATTACTGTTCTGGTAATTTATTTGTAGTAGCTTTTGAATGTTCTGTGTTCAAAGAAAAAAGTAAAACTTAATTCATTTACATTTAATAGAAGCTGGCTCCTTGGTTTATTACAGTGGTTTCTCCAAACAAAGCATCTGTAGGAAAATGTATTACCAAGGGGCAAAGCCAGGGAAGTTATGCCATAACAGATGTAATGAAAGATAACACAACTGGCTTCTCTATTTTATGGAGAAGATTGCAAAGGTCATATGATGGGTTGTCTTCTATCAGTTGAAATCCTGGATTGTCTGTCTCATGAGACACTAATTGTATTACTAAGTAATATGGATCTGGAAGCTGACAAAGAGTGTAACTGGGATTTGTTTTGATTACCAACGTTATGATGCTCCAGTGTGTCTTGGATTTGGCTGTTCCCAAGGTGGTTGGAGAGAATGTAACTGTGCATGTTTACTAGAGATATGCATGAAAACAACTGACTGAAACAACTCCTTTCTTCTTTTTCTGCTCAGCAAAAAGAGATGGTTTGGATCCAGCTTCCATTCCAGGGCAGATCAGCGCAGGAGTAGGAACTGCTGATTACACTCTTCATGGCTTAACTCTTGAGAGTCCCAGTTCTTACTGCCTTTTATCTGTCTTATTGTGTCTATGTCCTAAAGAATGTTAGCTGGAAACCTTTTAAAATGTCAAAGATGAAACTAAAAAACAATGGAGAAACAATGAGCTCCAAATAGCGTGTTCATTCTTGTTCCACCCACGTTACTGGACAAGAGCTTCCTGTGATCTCTTTTTCAGCTTTTCCATAGATGAAGATGATCTTGTTCACTTTGAAGATACTATGCCACCAGCTATGCAGAATTCCCAAACTGGAATACATTGTGTTAATTATGCTTGGGCTCAAAGTGAAAATGAATCTGAATTCTGGCAGCATTTGCACTTGGGAAGTAAAGGGGCTCAGATTTCTTGGTAGGGAAACTATAGTCTCTTGGATTAAAAGGTAGTCCTGTTGCCTTGCAAACATGAATCAGCTGCTCTCCTCCAGTGTCTCCCTGGGAACTTCTGTGTACTGAAAATCTCTGGAAAACAGGCCATTTTCTTCAATTGCAGAAATAAAGATTTAGAAATAGAACTTCAGCCACCTCATTGCTGCAGGTCGCAACCAGAAATTAAAGGGTGAAGGAAGAGTAGATGTAATGTGAGATGAAACTTTTTCAAGGGATAATTAGTTATGGAAACCAAGGAGAATCACCTATGCCTGCTCAGAGTATTGTTATTCCAGAGGAAAGATCATTTGACCAGAAGTGTCCAGTGTGAGAGAAAAGACAGGTGAGGCAGGTGCATGACCACCTCAATCTTTTCCTGCTCAGAAGGGTGGAAAGAAGGTGGGCTCAGTGGAAGAGTAGGGCTTAAATTTGCTATGTCTGTTATGTTTATCTTCTTTTCCTTACCCTCTTCATGGCTTTTCCCCTTTCACTGGTGTTTGTGTCCCTTACAGGGCTTGATACTACTGCAAGGCAATCAGGTGAACGAGCTGCCACCTAATCCTGATGAACCAGGGAAACATCTCTTTGAAATTGCCCCAGGTAGGCCAGCATTTCCTTGTACTTTCAACGTAACATCATCTCATTCCCATTGGTTATCATTAATGATAATTGAAATGTACTGATCACTTCACTTCTAAGCGCTCTGATACACTAGTTGGATTATCTAGAGAGATTGGGAAATGGGACTTGACAGACTACTCGGTGTTCTTTGTTCTGCATATAACTGCTGCCATGGTACCTCATGAAAATAGCAGTTGAGATGCATCATACTCCTTGATTTTCCTGTTTGGAGGGGGCTCCTTGCCTGGAGTGCTGTGTGTAGTATCTGGATGGGGCGGGGGGTGGGGGGGGAAGCTTCAAAATGTTTCACTTTTTGGATAAAAGGTTTAAGAGAATAGGTGACCTGCCATGGAAGAGAGGTTGAAATTTTATTAGGTAGAAAATGTAATGATCTGTCGGCATAGTCTTAATGTAGAACTTTTGAAATCATTTTAGCTCCCATGTAAATGCTTCCTGTGGACTGGCTTGGTATCTCCAGTGTATATTTAGAGTTAAGTTCCCTGTTGCAGCATAGGAGCAATTGTATTCACTTTATTCAGTTCTGATTGTAGTTGGGAGAGGACCGTCCCTGTGCATAGATTTGAATGTAGTATGTTTTGGAGGTAGGGTAGTTTCAGGTGGCAGGATTTACAGAGAAGAAAGCTGTTACACCACTAGCAGTGTTAGACCAGAGGAGTGAGAAAGATGAACTGTGGGTTAGTCCTTCCACAGCTATCTCCCAATACCTGAAGACTGAGTTCCTGGAGACAAGGAGGGAGACAAACATGACCATGGTAAAAATTATGCGAGTGCACTGACTCGGTCATGCTTTATTTCACGGCCAGTTTCTCCTGCATGGACTCCTGTCCATGCTTCTTAGTATTGTCTCTTTCCCCATAGTGTTGGTGCTGTTGATAGGGTAGATAAAAGTAATTACATTAGGCTGCCTCTTTTTTTTTTTTTTTTTTTTTTATGGAATGGACAGCACAGGGAACACTTGTCCCTGTAGTTGAATGTTACTGTTGTGGAGGCAGGTGTGCTTTTACCTGTGTCTTTCAGGTCTTTTTCTTACCCCCTAATCAGGCTGGCTTAAAATGCCTGTGTTGCACACCCCTCTTGACACAGTATCAGGCAGCGCAAGAAGAAAAGGCAATGCTGCAAGGTTTTCAATTACACCAGCAGGCAGGGTTTTGCAATAACTCAGTCACAGCGTTCTGTCTGGCACACAGGAAGCTACTTGGGGAGAAGAGATTTATTTTTGTTTTCTCTTCCTCGTCACTGCACGCTATCTGTTAATGCCTCGTTTTTCTTGCACTGCGCCATGTCCTCATAGGCAGGGCCCCACAAACAGCAGCGTGTTGGGCTCACAGTGTTGCTTGCATGGAAGATCTCCTAGGAATTGACATTCACTGTCTGAATGTGACACATCTTCTGCACCATTTTCCAAAGATTGTGCACTGTACTGTTGTAGAAGGACTGTGGACCTGGGATGTGAAAGCACTTGGGTTGTTGTGATTGGGAATGATCCCATGTGTTCTGGCAGTGATCTGAAATATTTAAGTGAGTCACGGACTGGCTTGGTTGAGTTTCCTGCAGATTTGAGTTTGCCCTCTGGTTCCAGGTGAGAAAATAGTCATTCTGCACTTCTTGCCCAACCTGTCAGGTTGTATTACTGTAGGCTGCAAAAGAATTGTCCTGAACTGCGGGTGGCTGTTGCTTCAGTCGAGTTGGTAAAGCAATGCCATGTGGCTACTTGAAAGAGGCTATCCAGAAGCGTGGAAAAAAGTGATACTGTTCACAGCATAGTTGCGAATCCCAGGACTTCTGTGTTCAGCTTGTGGCTTTGATATTGCCCTTCTCTGTGTTCCCTGGAAAAATGATTCAGTCTTAGTGCACCACTGTCCTGCCTGCAAAATTGAGATGTTTTCCCTACCTTGTGGAGCTAAATCCATTCATGTTTGTAGCAAGCTTAGTAGCTACATGGGTAGCAAGTATTGAAAAATGCTATAAATAGCCAGTCAATACAGAATGTGGCTCAGCATAGACATCACTGGAGAATGTGGCCTCAAGAGTTCCCCGTTCTGTTCACAGTACATTTGTTCTCTGCTGGTTTTGGCATAAATACCTTTTCTTTTTTGCATGTGTTCTGAAATGACTGTGTTCTGCGTGGTTGCCAGCCTGCAGAACACCCACATAGTGAACAGCTCTTAAACGGATGCCAGATTATCTTGCAGGACCCCAATCATTATTTTCCATCGCTTCCCATCTTCCCCTGTGTTGGATGTATGGCCATGATCATATCTCTGCCTAATTGTGCCTCAGTTCTCCCACTGTAAACTAGGACTATATAGTTTCTATAGGGATGATGAGAGGTTTTTTTTAGTTGTCTTAACTAAGTCGGGGATCTTGTGAATACAAGTACATTCCATAACTGTAAATATATATATATGTGGGATTTTACTGTGCTTGTAAGCAGCAGAGCTTTAACTAACAAAACTAAGAACAGAGTGCAGCATTCCTAAGATGTTTCCATTGTGTCCTGATACCAACTTATCTGACAAAGAGGAGAGGCTGAGATCTCCCAGCAAGGAAATGTCCAAAGCTTTCTGAAGTCTGTGGTACCAGTTACCTCCAAAAACCTATTTTGTGATCAACAGCTAAGGCTTTCAGCATCCTCATTGCTGGAACTGTTGCTGAGATCTTCCCACCTTTCCTCTGCTGCAGCCTGTGTACAGCTTGGCTGTGGGAGCTGCTTCGCCAGAGTGCAGGGACTAGAGTAACAGCACGTTCTGCACTGTAAAAGAGCATGTATTGATTTTCTGCTGAGTAACAAGAACTAATGATGGGTATTGTGTATTATTCATGTTTCATCAGGTTCATTTCTGAGCTGTATAGTGTGGCTGGGAGAGGGGTTAACTAGGGACATGAGAGGCTGCAGAACAGTTCTACAGTCAAACCAGTGTTAGATCTGGTGGCAGGACTTCCTGAAATACCTCCTTTGGCAGAGATGTTCTCTATCCTCTTTTCTGGGGAAACTATGTAAATTTCTGTACCCTCTTAACTCATTCATGCTTTCCTCCCTCACAGCTAGTGAAGTTCAAAGTGGAATGGCAGGGTAAGCTGTGGGCTCAAGTTGCTCTCATGTTCCAGTGCACATTAGCAGGTGGGGGGGGACGGTTTTATAAAATTATCAGGTTAGTATGAGGTCAGGTGCAAAGCTTTAACCATTTGGGGTAATCATCACATGGTAGCTGGTATTTCTGGGTGGAAATAACCACTGTATGTTGCTTGGGAGAGGAGTCCAAATCTGGTAACAGAAACAGCAGCTGACTGATTACAACTACCTGAAAGGAGGTTGTAGTGAGGTGGGTGTCGGTCTCTTCTCCCAAGCAACAAGCGATGGGACGAAAGGAAATGGCCTCAAGTTGCGCCAGGGGAGGTTTAGATTGGATGTTGAGTCACCATCCCTGGAGGTATTTAAAAGACGCGTAGATGAGGCGCTTAGGGACATGGTTTAGTGGGTGGTGGTGTTGGGTCGATGGTTGGACTCAATGATCTTAGAGGTCTTTTCCAACCTCTATGATTCTATGATTACTGGGGCAACAAAACAACCATGAGTTAGCCCGGGGTTACAGTGCATTTCAGAGTAGTGTAATGCAGTGTGTAAGGCATTCTCAGAGATCAATCCCTGTGCTTCTTAAGGAATATTAATGGCCTAAATGCTCCTGAGGTCTCACCTTTTAGGAAGCTGATGCTTTTAATGCCCTGTGGCAAATAGTCTGCCTAGTTTTATTCTTTGGTCTTTGCAGCACTATGAGATGAGACGCTCAAGTTTCTCTGCAGAGTCAGAGATAATTTGCTGATATAGTAAGGTTTTCAGAGTCGAGGAAGGGAGTGGTAAAAAGGTTCAGAAGTTAGGAGGTGAAAAGCATTGTCTTTTGATAGGTATGGCAAGTGTTATTACCAACTGATTGGAGAATAGCTTTTCTTTGTAGAAAACGTGGTGACTTCTAAGAAGATTCTTCTATCCTGCTTCAGAATGGATTCAGTTGATCTTTTCATGGAGAGTAAGAGGGGAAAGATAAACATGAACAAGAAATTTTCCATTGATTACCTGGTACCTCTTTGGCTGACATCCTCTCCTGTGATGCAGGAGACCCAAGTTCCACTCGGTTTAGACCAGGAACCTGAATCTCACCTGCATAGTGGGCAAGTACCCTCAGTGACTACTGGTGTGTGTGTGTGTTGTTGTGTTTTTTTTTTTTTCCCTCAGTGACTACTGGTGTGTGTGTGTGTGGTGTTGTGTTTTTTTTTTTGTCCTGGGAAAGATGTTTTTGCTTCATTTTTTACTATGAAATCATTCTAGAGTAATGCTCTTGTCCATAGAAAACGTGCCCTTTTCTATTTCAGCAAACTGGTATGTTATGGTTGAAAGGAGCCTTGCTTGAAAAATTCCCGACCAAAACTCATGGTACACATCTTGGTGTCTCCTTATCACTGATGACAGCTAGTTCCTGTTTCTTGCCACAGTGCTTTCTGCCAAGGTCAACAGTGACAGCTCTTAGTTGAGTCTTTCTGTGAAAATAAGAGTGCAGTTTTGTGATAATTTGATTTCACTGGAAACTGCTGCTGAATGGGTTGATCTTGCTTTCCCCCTTTCCTCTTGGCTTTTTCCCCAATATCTAATCACATGTCTCACTTCAGCTCTTATGACTGAAAAAACAGTTTTCAAACCAGTTGGACCTCAGGTTGATCCAACTAAGCTTGATGAAAACTGCACCTTCAGGTTGCTTTTTGTGCTCTAGCTGAGTAATACCACCAGCCCTCTCTTTCGTGAGGCAGTTCAGTCCTCTTCAGAACTGTTGTCTCAGGCTTTTTGCAGACTCAGCCAGAGCAAAGATGACTGTCTATGCTTGATTCACATGTAGAAGGTTATTTTCAAAACTTTAATTGAAAAGCATGCCACAGAGCTCCAACCTCTAATTATAAAGACTGAGCTC